TATATATATATATAGATTTGTATGTTCACATGTATACATATGACAATTGCAAAATATATGTAAATTATTAATAGTTAGGACCTCATAAAGTATATTACTGTAACTGAAAATGCAGATTTGAAGACTAACAAATAGATAAATATACCGCAGATATATTATGTAAGAAATTTATGAACCATTTATATTCAAGAGTAGAACTTTTCACACAGCAAATCGACCGTTTTATAACGAATTCAAATTGACCGTTTTATAACGAACAATAGTGAATCAGTGTATACCATGGAATCGTATGGGATCGGCTATTCGCAAATAGCCGATGAAACGATGAACGAATTCTGTGATATCCTGCTTTGCACTGCGTCTCTACGTACTCAACCTATACATTTTCACAGTATAGTTACTGTTATGGCAGTAGCACGAGACTCTTCGCACTAACTCGTTCATGGAACGTGGTGATACCCTTGCGGCCGTTTCTCTCGACTTGGAAACCTGTACATTCGCAGAAATGGTTTCCGCGGAGATAGTTGAAGTCCGTCGAATGTATTTAAAGTAAAGCTAAATCTGATTCTACGCCATGTAATATCCATTACTCTTCGTGAGTATGCAAAGTTCACTTTTTCTAGCAAATTTTGTATGCGTTTTAGGAAAATATAAACGAGTTTTAAGAGTTGTAAACGGTTTTATCAAGGAATTTTATAATTGAGCAAAAAGAATTTTAATAATTACTTTAAAGATTATGTATTCTTATATTTTATGGAGAAATTATAATTCTATAGTACAATTCTTAGGTTATTATAGCATGAAATTGTTTGTATCATATTTAAAACCTAAAACAAAGAAGACAATTAACAGTTAACAGTAAACAGTTAACAGTAAAAATAAAATGAAAATAAATTTTAATAGTTAATGCCACATCCAATAAACTTCTCTTTTAAAATTATTTATTTATTTCTTTTAAAATTATTTTAACTTTTATCTTACTTTTTATATTTGCAGATGTTTTTTGTAAATTTGAGGAACATGCCACAAGAAATTCTTAAGAAAAAAATAATAATGAAAAGTATAAGAAAAAATAGTTTTATTTAATTTCTGGTAAAAATGAGAGAGTGAAATTGATATCTCTATCGAGACGATTCCTTACCGATTCCTGTGATGAGATTTCCTATATTTAAACAGAAGGCATGATTAAGTTCATACTAACAGATGTTTCATGTAATACCAGATAAAAATACGAGATATTAATATATTTGTTGACCTATATTTGTAACGTTGTGATCACAATTGCTCGCAGATGTCGATAAATTGCTAGTTACAGCAAATGAACAAGCGAAAGCTTGTAAGAAAGTATTTTGTGATTTACTGCAAAATAAAAATCTCAAGAAAATGTTCATGAGTTGAAATTTCGAGAAAAATTTTACCGTTATCGACGAACTCTCTACATGGAAACTTCGCAGATTCGAAAAAAAACGATCAATTTCAAACTTTAAGTCTTATGTAACGATAGTAGCTTCGAGTATTTCTCGAAAGTGCGCTCTTTTGGTGTTTATTAATACAAAATTTTTAAGTGTACAATTCGAATCACCATTAATACAATACTTTTGCTACTATTATAGACATATTTTATTCAACTCGTTTTGATGATATGTTCGTATTATTTGCAATAATTCTGTCGAAAGTTTTAATATTCTCACTTTTAATATTCTCACTGTAGATGAATATTATATTATATATTATATTTTATATATTATATTATGAACACATAATTCTTTATTTCTCATGTAATAAAACAATTGTAGAGATTTTGAGTGCAACGCAATTATATCGCAATTTAAATCGAGCAATCTGAGAAAGCTTTTAGTAAGATTGGATGGAACACTTTTTTCGAAAACCGCGTTCACGCGGTTGACTTTAAACTTGACCAGTACGTATATAAATTGTATATGTATAATCGAAGAGTCGACTAGATTTATCCAGATATTTAAAATCATTTATAAAAAATCTGTTCCGTCAAAATACTTTCAATGTTAATTTAATTGTATTTTGTCAAAATATTTTTGATACTAATTTGATTGAAATCTAAGTATATTTTTTATTTAAGTAAAAAATATATATTACGTTTCTTTCGTATTTTAATTCTTTGTAAACCGATGACCCCATTTGGGATCATCTTATTTTTTAAATTATTTTACAAACTATTCGCTCAATTTTTATGAAACTTGGTCTGTGGGATAATTTAAATGATGCTTTATTCAAATCTGATGTCAAAAATAAACAATTTTTAAATGGTAGATTCAATATAACAGACAGAATTAAAAAAAAAATGTAATTATTGCAAAACTCGGTTTTAGGGAGTTAATTGCAAAGTAATATCGAGTTTTTATTTTCGCTTTATTTAAATCTTTATTTAAAGTTTATTAGTAATACATAGACAGTTAGTACTGATTTTCAAACTAACTTTTAAACTCTGATTATAATTCTAGATCCTCCTTCATGTAGAGGTTACTAGCTTTTTGAAAATCGATACTTTCAGATTACATTTAAACTCACCGATACCAAAAACTACCTAAAAATCGAGTTTCACGATAATCATATTATTTTTTTCGAAATTTGAATTTTAGGATTCTGAGATCAGAATTGACTTCAGCAACCCTAATCTTTCGTAAGTTACTATACTTGTTAAAAAGCTTTTGTCTTTCAAGGGTTAATTTTTTAAATCTCATTAATCTAATCTTGTTAGATCTAATTTTAAAACCAGAAGAAAGAATCTTATAATAGACAAAACTTATAAATCATGAAGAAAATTGTATAATTCCGGTATAGAAAGGGGGAGAAATGGAGATCAGCGTTAGCAGCAAATTTCGATAGAACGTCATCTGCAGATCTCGGAATAGAAAAAGTCAATGTAGACAATACGAATATATTATAAAAGGAATTCAGTTGCAGAATTATACTGCAATAACTGCCAGTAACTTTTTACTGTTATGGCTTATAAGCTTTCTCTCTCAGGATATAGTTTTCGAATGATTGCATGACGTTCATCCTCGGAATCTCAGCTCAGATGCATTTAAAATAAGTCAGACCAATTTGATTCGCGCGTTATGTAATATCCACTTCGGAATTGGTCGGCGTAATCGTGTCTAGATAGAGAACACATCGTTTCGACATGTTGGCTGGACCTCGAAATATATTGCACTTTCGGGACGAGGTCAGCTGCGACTGTAATTTCGGTACAGCATTTATCTCGCGATAGTGCCGCGGCTGAGATCTTTATTGAGTTGGATTCAAATATATGTCGCGTT